GCCACGGGCCAGCTCGGGTCACAGCTTTGCGAGGCTTGGGGCCCAATATAGTTTGTGCTCCTTGTAGGGAGCTCGGGTTCTCAGTATGGAGCTCGTTCCTAATAGGGAGCTCGGGCTCTTGGTGGGGAGCTCGGGCTCTTAATAGGGAGCTCGGACTCCCAGTAGGGAGCTCGGACTCTTGGTAGGGAGCTCGGGCTTTTGGTGGGGAGCTCGGGCTCCTAGTAGGGCAGTCTAGAGTTCGGGCTCAGTAATGAGCTTAGACTTTGTTTTCAGTGTTTGTTTCGGGCGCTCTACTGTCCCGAGTTGCTTGTTTCTGCCACGTGTCGGGTAATTGCGAGGTCGGGCCAAATTCCCCTTCATCAAAAACTATCTCCATATTATTTTATCAATATATATATGTATGTATTTATAAATTATTCCCGAATAATTAAAAAATTACTGCAATTGCTTTATCTTATTGAAAAATGTTTGTTTTCCACAATCATTTTCATTTTACATACAAGTAAACACCATAAAATAGTAAAAATCAAAATCCATACATTTTGTTTTATTTACTTGCAAACAAACAGAGCCCTAGTAATATCAACACATCAGAGGAAATTGTATTTCTAAACCAAAAAATTCAATTTCAAGCTTCAGCTTTGAAACGAAAAAGGGATATCATACAACTAATAAATTATTAATTTGGTTCAGAAAAATGTTTTTTAACCCGGAAAGGAAACGGATTTTCTGGTTTAGTGGTTCAACCAGGTAAAATACCCATTATGTCATAAATCATTTAGTAAAATGTTAAAAATACTAAAATAGATAAAATACAAAAAGTACATAACATTTTGTAAAAAAAAAAAAGAACTAGACATGTCTCTAATATTATGTATTCCTATTTAACAAAAAATAAAAGACATTCTATGATTCAAAAAAAAAGGCTTAATGTGTAACCCATGCATGGCTTGTTGTTCAAGTTGTATGAATGGTTCAATGGTTCAACCAGTTGGTTCTCCGGTTTTTTTAACTCAATCAATGCTTTTTTAGATAAATGATTCAGGGGTTAAACATACCCGGATTTCTTGTTGGATAACCAGTCTTTCATAAGAAAAAAAGATGATCAACTATCAGGACGGATTAAAAACATTGACCAAAACGTGGTCTGAAAAAAATGTATAACCAAACATCAGGCGTGGTCCGAAAAAATGGATTTCAGATGTGGCATGAATAATAAATCTATCACAAAATAATAGGCCTTCCCTTATCAAGGACACTATTGATCTTATATCCCTCAAAAAACAGCCCAGATCAAAAGAATGCATCCTCACCGTGAATTGATACCAAATTTACAGGCAGGATGCAGGATGTGATTTATAGGGGGGGAGAGGGCTAACTGGAATTCTGAATTCTACATCGGGTGTTTCCGTACTTCTCCTAAAAACAGCCGTCGCTCATTCAATTGAGAGGCCTTAAATCGTCGTTAGTTTTTATTAGTAATAATTGGAGTCGAATGAAAAAAAAAAAAAAATCCTGAATTTGCATCAACCAGTATTTTGAGATAGGATCGGATGCAATCAGCTTTTGTGATTAAAAAGGTTTAGAATGTTTTGAGGGGAAAAAAGAATTTTTAGATAAAACATATTCCCATAAAACAGGATCAATGAATTTAATAGATTCCCTCATGCCCATAATATTGATTATGCGTTTCAAATGAAGACATCGATGAAGCCATTCTAGACCACAGATTTGACAGTTTGGATTCGTCTCATTCACATAACTACAGGTGCAGAGATCAACTGTCGACGCAACTGTTGAGATTCTATTTACACTCGTACATAAATCGATTAAACTACATACGCATATGATACTTATCGTATGTACACTGTAGCATGGATTGACAGAAATCGTCACGTGGTGGTGTGTTCTCTAATTCTCTTATTTAAATGAATCAAGAGATCTAAGAGATGCCTCTTCATCATCACGTCTCAGAGCCACGTGCTTCTCTCCCTACTGTTACAGGTCGATAATCGAACTGAGGATTTTCTGAAGAATTCTGTTCTAGTTCATGGTGTTTATGTACTAGAATTCCGTTTTGCTTATCCATTATGTCTTTTGTTTTTCATTCTTTATTGTTCTCTTATCTGAACTGGGCTTCATCTAGACCTTTTCCGCATGTTTCAGGAGGTGGCAAAATTTTTCTGCTCTGTAGCTTTCCACCTTTTGTTTTCTTCCCCGGCTTTCTTAGGTTAATTTTATGTTAGTTAATTGAACATAGGTTTTTTTTTTTTTTCGTCCTCAACTGTTAGCTTTGATGGGGTACTCTTTAAAGGTCATAACTGCAGTTGGTTTCTCACTATTTCTAACATGGTTTCTGGTAGAAGTTTTGATACATAGAAAAAGGAGAGATGCAGGAAATGAATCGTTAGAGCAAGGAAGTACAAAAAGAAAGTTTACAGTTGCTACGAAGATGGTTTTTCTTTTGAACGTTTTAATCTCGGTTTGCTATCTGGGTTTTTGTTTTTATGACATTTGGAAGCTCAAAGCTATCTCCATGGAGTCTGTTTTAGAGGCAACAGCTTGGATTTTAGTGACTTCATTTGCAGTCTACTCAAAGAATGGAACAGGCAAAGCAGAAGAGAAGAGCTGGCCTTTGGTCCTTATTTTCTGGTGGATCTTCACTAGCGTTCGCAATGCTTTCTCTGTTGTCGTCTACCTCCTGGCTCATTACAAATCCACAGCATTGCCTGATTTTGTCCCGGAGGTAAATATGGCAGATATCGCTTCCTTTCCTTTCTCCATACTGCTCTGTATCAGCGCGTTCCGTTCCGGCCATGGGAAAGGACCCCAAGAGCTCGAACGCCCACTACTTCAAAGAGAGGACGATCATGTTTTCGGAGACGCTTTCACATTAGCCAACGCTGGGATTTGGAGCCGGTTAACTTTCCGGTGGCTAAACCCTCTGTTTGAGAAGAGCCAGACTCAAAAGCTTCAACTGTCCCACATTCCTTCTGTTCCTGAATCCGAAACAGCACAAAAATCCTCTTTCTTGCTACAAGAATCACTTCGACTACAGAAAACCAGAGCTTGCTTTCTTCCCAAAGCTACAATCCGTGCTAGCTGGAAACCTCTAGCGATAAATGCACTTTTTGCAGGTATGACAAACTGGTTTTTCATGGCTTAACTTATTAGCTTAATTAGTCTTTATATATATATTAATAAAACAGTTTTTAAGCATTTTACGAGTTTGGCGCATTTCTTTCCTTTCAGGCATGAACACAATTGCTTCTTACATGGGTCCCTATCTAATCACGAATTTTGTCAATTTCTTAGCACAAAAACGTGATGGCTCCAGCCACCTCTACGGACTGTGTCTTGCATTTATTTTCTTTTCTGCAAAGACAATTGAATCTCTTTCACAGAGACAATGGTACTTTGGTGCAAGACTGATTGGATCCCGAGTCAGGGCAGCTCTCATGGCATTAATTTATCAGAAATCCCTCTCAATCAAATACGTTGGCCCAAGTAATGGAAAAATTGTAAATTTAATCAATGTGGACACTGAGAAGGTTGGTGACTTCTTTTGGTATGTTCATGGAGTGTGGTTGCTTCCTATCCAGGTCTTTCTCGCTCTAATCATCTTGTACAGAAACCTTGGCTGGGCCCCCTCTTTTGCTGCACTTCTCACCGCAATCCTGGTGATGGTGAGCAACACTCCATTGGCTACTTTGCAAGAAGGACTCTACTCCAAGATCATGGAAGCTAAGGACACGAGAATCAAAGCTACCTCTGAAACATTGAGGAGCATTAGAGTCTTCAAACTGCACTCGTGGGAAACCACCTATTTGAAGAAACTCCTCAAGCTTAGAGAAGTAGAGAGAAACTGGTTGGAGAGATGTCTGTATACACGCTCAGCAATTGCTTTTCTCTTCTGGGCTTCACCGACTTTGGTCTCAGTCATCACATTTGGTGTTTGCATTATTGTTAAGACTCCTTTAACATTCAGTACAGTTCTCTCCGCTCTAGCAACTTTTCGGATTCTACAGGAACCCATCTACAATCTCCCAGAGCTAATTTCCACAATTGCTCAGACCAAAGTCTCAATTGATCGAATCCAAGATTTCATTGGCCAAGAAGAACAGACGGAACTCATAGCTAATTATAATGCAAAAGCATGTGATGTGGCAATTGAGCTCGAGGTGGGCGAATACACTTGGGAAACAAGTAACTCGAACGTAAATAAACCCACGATCAGAATCCCTGATAAGATTAAAATCATGGAAGGTGATAAGGTTGCTATTTGTGGGTCAGTAGGGTCAGGTAAGTCGAGCTTACTGTGTAGCATACTTGGAGAGATCCCGAAGATTTCAGGAGCAGAAATCAAGGTATACGGGTCCAAAGCTTACGTCCCACAGAGTGCTTGGATTCAGACGGGTACAATTAGAGAGAATGTTTTGTTCGGTAAGGAAATGAAGATGAGTTTCTACGAGGACGTCTTGGAAGGTTGTGCATTAAATACGGATATTAAGTTGTGGGCTAATGGAGATCTGTGTGTAGTGGGAGAAAGAGGAATTAACCTGAGTGGGGGGCAGAAGCAGAGGATTCAGCTGGCTCGGGCAATCTACAGCAGTTCCGACGTCTATTTGCTTGATGATCCTTTCAGCGCAGTGGATGCACATACAAGAGCACATCTCTTCAAGGTAAAACAACACACTGTAATCTTCTCAGATAATTTGAATTTACATCATGAAGCATTTGAAAACAGGTCCGTAGTCCTCATTCCCCATTGTAGGATTGATGGATAAAAGTTTGTTAAAACTTACAAGCTTTTGTACAGGAATGTTTACTGCGATTACTGTCACGGAAAACTGTCATTTATGTCACTCATCAATTGGAATTTTTGGATGCTTCGGATCTTGTTCTGGTAAGCTGCATCTTCTTATAGACTGCAGGCAATATTATAATTTATTTGACAGTAGAACCAGATTTTTTTCTTATTCCTTTCTTTTCTTTTCTTTTGTTAATTAACATTCTCCATAGGTACTGAAAGATGGGAACATTGTTCAGCATGGCAAATACAAGGATTTGATTGCAGATCCAGATGGTGAGCTTGTCAGACAGATGGCAGCCCATAGTCAATTTCTACGCCAAGTGAGCCCACCCCAAACACACAGTTCTCTAACCTCTGGAGCCCAGCACAGAAATCATGAGCTCACAGAGAAAAAATTGAATGATTCCAAAGGCAATAGCAAGTTGACAGAAAGAACAAATCAAGATGAAACAGAATCTGGTCGAGTGCAATGGGGAGTTTACTCAAAGTTTGTGACTTCTGCATACAAAGGAGCTCTAGTTCCAGTGGTTATTCTCTTCCATGTTCTCTTTCAGGGATTACAGATAGGCAGCAATTACTGGATTGCTTGGGCAACTGAAGAGGAAGGTAAGGTGAGCAAGGAGAAGTTGATAGGAATGTTCACCTTGCTGTCTGGCGGGAGCTCCCTCTTCATCTTGGGAAGGGCAGTCTTGCTCTCAACTGTTGCCATCAAGACTGCTCAGAATCTGTACCTGGATATGATCACTTCCATCTTTCGGGCACCGATTTCCTTCTTTGACACCACTCATACCAGCCGAATTCTCAACAGGGTCAGTTCTTTGGATAATTCCAAGCTCCTTTTCTTTTCTCTAATTGGTGGGGAAGGAGGCAATTATAGTACATAAAAATTCACCTTGTAATAACTACTCAATTTGTTTGTCTTTTATTGCAGTCTTCTACAGATCAGAGCACAGTGGATACAGACATTCCCTACAGACTAGCTGGATTAGTGTTTGCGGTTATTCAGCTCTTAAGTATTATATTCCTAATGTCTTATGTTGCCTGGCCAGTGCTCCTTCTTTTCCTTGTCATCATTGCAATCTCTGCATGGTATCAGGCAAGAAAACTAATTCCCCCCCCCCCCCCCTTGAACGTCTGTGGCATTTTAACATATTTTAATCTAATAATTGGACATTTTACTCTTATAGAAGAGATTCAAGTTACTGCACCAATATATCTCCCTAAACTATTCAATACCTTCATTGTGTTGAACAATCAAAGGAATATAATAATCAGTTGGTCAAGGATCACTTTATTGCATGGCTAGTATCATCCAGGAGGTTGGCTTCTGCTCTAGGAGATTCTGAAAGTAGGACCCATTTACTAGCCAATTTCACTTCTCTGTTCATTACCTGCCATAATAAACTGTTTTGCTATTGGCAGATTTGACCTGTTCAACGAAATCCCTATTTCAAAGACTAATCTCCAAAGTATCCCTAATTTGTCTGCAGGCTTACTACATCTCCACTGCCAGAGAACTAGCTAGGATGGTTGCAAGCAGAATAGCTCCAATCCTCCACCACTTCACAGAGACAATTGCCGGGGCAGCAACTATCCGCAGCTTCAATCAGGAAGATAGCTTTCTTGCCAAAAACCTAAGCTTGATTGATGATTTCTCTAGCCTCTCCATCCATAATTCTGCCACAATGGAATGGCTATCTGTTCGAATCAACTTCCTTTTCAACCTGGGATTCTTCCTTGTTCTAATAATCTTAGTGAACTTGCCAAAGGCAGCCATTAACCCAAGTAAGCTCCTGCCTCTCTGTCCCATATTAAGTGGTATTCATGGGCACATGCAAGGGTTGCAACCCACCAACTTCCTCACATGTGGGAAAACATTTTTCAAAATTTTAACAGAGCAAGAGATTATCTATCATGATCAACCACATGTAGTCGATCATTTTCAGTAGATATTCCTGGTTGAGAGAGTAGGTGGGTACTGGGAGCAATTCCCCTGCATGTGCACCATTTGTATGATGGTTCTTATCAGTAAACCATCCTTGTGGTGTCCATGATGGGCACCTTAAGTTTCTTGTTCTTCAAAACCATTAATATGATATTGATCAATCTAAATTGTAGCACTAATGAGGATGTATTCCAGGCTTGGCAGGACTGGCAGTTACCTATGGTTTGAACCTCAATGTTATACAAGCTTGGGTCATATGGAACCTGTGTAATGTTGAGAATAAGATGATCTCAGTTGAGAGAATTCTTCAATTCTCTAACATACCAAGCGAGGCACCACTAGTGATTGAAGATTGTAGACCAGCACCTGAATGGCCAAACAGTGGAACCATTGAATTCCAAAACCTCCATGTTCAATACAGCCCTGCACTCCCCATGATTCTCAAAGGGATCAACTGCAGATTCCCAGGAGAGAAGAAGATTGGAGTTGTTGGCAGGACAGGCAGTGGCAAATCAACTCTTATCCAAGCTCTTTTCAGGGTGATGGAGCCCTCAGAAGGAAGCATCCTGATTGATGGAGTAGATATTTGTAAGGTTGGTTTGCAAGATTTGAGGTCTAGGTTGGGTATAATTCCACAAGATCCAACACTGTTTCAAGGAACAATCAGAACTAATCTGGATCCTCTACAGCAACATTCGGATCCAGAAATCTGGGAGGTAAAAACTTGCAAATCGTGTTTATTTATTTGGATGGAATGATTAGTCAAGCTCCAATTGAAACCCTTTGAGATTTCAGGCTCTAGATAAATGTCGTCTTGGGGAGATAGCAAGGCAAGATCAAAGGCTTCTTGATGCACCAGGTATCAGTTCTAATTAATGAATAAATATTATGTGGTTTATATTCTTTTGCTGTTAATTCATTGAAGATGGATCATAGACTGTCTACCTGAACTGTTCCCAAGAGCCAAGATTGGTGTTTTTTTCCCTAAAATGTTGGAATGATTCAGTTGCAGACGATGGTGGAAATTGGAGTGTGGGACAGAGGCAGCTTGTTTGCCTGGCTAGGGTGTTACTAAAGAAAAGAAGGATTATGGTATTGGATGAGGCTACGGCTTCGGTGGATACAGAAACAGATAATGTGATTCAGAAAACAATAAGAGAAGATACAAGCAGTTGCACAGTCATCACCATTGCCCACCGAATACCCACTGTGATAGACAATGATCTGGTCCTTGTTCTTGATGAAGGTATAATAGCTAAGAAACCCACAAATAGAGAAGGAATATTTTTTACTATTCTAACACTGACCTTGTGTTGGGCCAAGCTTGGACCTTGGACCCAAGATCTTTAAATCCAATCCAACCTGCCCAAGTTGCATCCCTTATTCTCCACTGACCCAACCATGAACCCAACCCAGGGATAATTGTGATTAACATTTTTTGTGGTGTGCTGATACAGGAAAAATTGTAGAGTATGACTCCCCAACTCAGTTACTGAAAAATGACTCATCTGCATTCTCGAAGTTGGTAATGGAGTTCTTGACGAGGCCATCCCAGAGCAATCATCAGTAAATCCAGTTTCAGAAGATCAAGGATGGAGACCATGCACAAAAACTCATTCCTGTTTATCCATATACCACAAAGAAAACGATTCCGAAAGGTTGAAATAGCATAAATCTTTATCATTGTCCCAAGAATGCCAACAAGCATGGCAATAAAAAGAACCAATGCAAAATGTAAATTCTGTAACTGGTGACATGGTTTCCAGTTTCCTAAACAACTTGTCTATACATTCTGAGCTCCGCCCTTTCTATACACTTTTTTGTCATGGATAATTATGTTTATTATTATCAGAAAAAAGAAAAAAAAAAAAACTGAAGATTGTGAGGCCCCAACATGCTCGTTTGTTCATTCTCATAATAACATATTTTTTCCTATTAAGAATTTTAGTCAAAACCATCATGGATTAGGCATTTCAAATGCAAACCCATCTCAAATTATAACACAAATGAAATAATACCATACAAAACCAATTATTTAAATTTAATATAAATAAGATAGGAAGTCATACATCAATAACTTGCATTGTACAGCTACTTTATAATATTCTTTCAACAACCAAAAGAAAAAAAAAAAAAGAAATGCTCCTTTGCCCAACTTTCTCTGTTTCTAACACATTGTGCAGCCGGATAAAATCCAAGTGGTATATGTTGCAGAAATGAGAACAAATATCAGCATTTTTTTTCAATTGGGATCTGAAAAGAACTTGTTGACGGATGGCATGATTTCGGGAGCTCTGTTACGCAGGAATTTCCTGAGGCCATGTTCTGCATATCTCTCACCCTCACTAAAATTGTCAAGCACTCCAGCGGCTCTGTTCTCTTTGGTAACCCTGATAACAAATTCAAATTTGAGTAAATGAATTTAAGTACTTTTATAGGGTACCAACTGATTCAGTTGGTCAAATGACTTGGAACCATATATAATTTCTCTACCATGGGAAATTTTTGGCTCTTACCTGGTTGGAGGACATGTGTCCTACCAAATGCATTTTAGGTTTTAGGATTACAGTTTAAATGTTAAAAAACAAGAGGTGGTCGGATGCTTTCATCCAACCATGGTAGGAGCGAAGTAATGCCCATCCCCCATTACTAACCACTGACCAATAAACCACCTATACTACATATCAACAGAAATTCTTTTCTCAGTTGAAGATAGGGTGTGCAAAACCAGTTCCAAACCAGACAATATAGGGTATGGAATAACAAAGCTTATCAATTGGGACAATTAGGTCTGACATGATAAAAATCCATTATAATTGAACCTTAGGGTCCGTTTGGTTCGTAGCCGGAATTGGAATTGTAATCGGAATGGTCTATTCCCATAGTCTGTTTGGCTCAGACAGGAATGAGAATGGGAATTAGAATCAGCAGGAATGGGATTTCATTCCCAAGGGAGGGGCAGGGAATGACCATTCCCTCAAATGGGGGAATGCCATTCCAGTAGGAATGGGAATAGGATTCCGATTCCGCCCAACCAAACAGTTGGAATCAAAATAGACCATTTCGATTCTGATTCCAGACCCCTATTCCTGCAAACCAAACGGGGCCTCATATTTTTCTTAACCTGTAAGTCGACATTAAACCTATTTATTTGTTAGACCCCTATTCCTGCGAACCAAACGGGGCCTCATATTTTTCTTAACCTGTGAGTCGACATTAAACCTATTTATTTGTTAACACGTTTCTCTGCTTTGTTATGAATCATTGAATTAAGGTAACAGAAAAGGTTACATTGAGTTATCTCTTGATCTCCAAACCTAAGTGGATCCTGGTTTGAATTCCTATTATTATTAAATTTACATTGCTTATATTCTGTTTTAGTTTTGTGTTAAAACCTCTTTGTTAGCCAAGACTGAAGAAGTCGGTTGTAACAAACACTCTGGTAGATAGGCCATGTGGCTCCACTTGTCCGAATTAGTTTCACCACTTGTATTTATGTTTAAATAGTCATCAAAATGAATGAGATTGCGTGTCTTTCTCTCCATTATTCAAGACAGGTTTACACTCTTGTATCTAATGCAATTGTCCATAAACCTAATTTTGCATTTAAACCTTCGCTAGTTTCATCTATCAATATCATGTGATCAATAAACATCAGGCACCATGGAACCTCCTCTCTTGTATGTTTAATCAATTCATCTACGACTGGTACAAATAAATAGTGCTAAACCTAAATATACATAATCTTATATGCAATTTATATATAGTGGATTCTTGAACAGTTCAAAACAGTCAAAATCGATGCCAACCCAATTGTAATTATAGTCAAGACATGTAACTCTATCTCTATACAAATATACAATTGGTTTGGTATGATGCAGTCTGCGACCTATTGACAGCGTTTTAATCCAAGTGTCCAGAGTTGGACTTGAGCTCCAACAAAGATATGGCCCATCTAGGAAGAGGCAAAGCATACCTAACATCAGGGTTGGTGTAGATGTTCCTTGCTAGTTGCATTGCGCAAATACCAACAGCTGTGCCGACCGCTGCAAAGAGTGGGTAGACCTATACATCACCGAAAGCCAAACAGGATAAGACTATTTTATCCCATTTAACCAACTAATAATCTGACTCTCTGGTCTCAAGCTATCACCGAATTATTTAGTTACTTCAACATGACAAGAAAGCAACCCTACCTCATCCCATTTTAACAGACAATATAAATTCTCTTCTCAAGTTATACAAACTGTAATCTAAGGCCCCAGCTTCACATTACTCATGTTAAGAATCAAATGTCAAGTTCCTCCATAGAATCAGAATATAAAGCCATTCTCGGTCATACATAGTATAATCTGTCATAAATGGCAAGCCAACTCGAATTGATTGATTTGGGTTTCTGTTATTTAACTTCATATAGATTGAGTTTTTTTTTCCCTCAAAGGTTTCTAAATTTTATGCACCAGAAGATCATTTAAATCAGGGGAAAGAAAAAAAAAAAAAAAAAAAGAACATTACCAGGTTCTGAAATCAGAATATCAGACGTGCCCACCAATAATGCATAATTCCCAAAACAAAATTAACAATGCACATGCATCTAATTGGTGAAACATATTCCTATTTAGACAGCGTGGCCCAACAATCAGATCAGGACAGGGGTCTCAATCCTGTGTCACTTCTAGGAAGAGTTAAACCATGCAACTCTTGGGGCCCTGCTCTGTTTCAACATTTAACCAGCCTGTTGGCTATTGACCAATCTGGATCTACCATGTTTTACTATCTCGAATGATGAATGAAAAACAGCAGGAAAACAAAAAAGAGAAAGAAGAGACAATGAAAGAGAAAGTTGGGTAGCAAGCATTCTGAAGGAAGAGGAAGCAAAATACAGAATTTTTTTACCATTTTAATTACTTTTCACGAGCCCAAAAAACAAAAAAAGAATAAAAAAAAAACGGCTAGAGAAGATACCTCAGGTCTCAACCATCTACTCATGGTGGAAGAAGCCATCGCGAGAGAACCCAATACCACAGTTCAGAGCTATCCCTTCCCCAAACCAAAAAGCAAAGCAATATTACAAAGACCACCACTATTTATATACACTTCGACGACTTTCTGGCCGAAAAGATGGAACTCGCCTGCCAACCTTTCTCACGAGTCACGATATAATTGCAATTTGGAAAGCAGAAGGAACACGTTTGTTCATTTCTTCATTCAAAGTCTAAACCAAACTCCGGAACTTCTGGAATCCCTACCAATTAATTTCCTTCTTTTCCTTCCGGAAGCATCTAACGTGCACAACTTCGCTTTTGCTCCTTCAAGGAAGGAGCACAATACCATCGGCTGGTGGAAAATACGCCCACGTCACCTAAAAGGTCTCTGTGATCTGATTCATGTGTGGCGTGGCTTTATCATCCACCGTCAGATTTTTTGCCAAAATAAAACAGAAGTCAAAATCAAAACTTAAAAAACACTTTCAGTCTTTTATTGCTCGAAGAGAAAGAGGTTGAAAAGCACACAAACTACTTCCAATTTACAATGCCCAGTTACAACAATTGACAAGAACGAAAATTTCTCCCTCCGTTTTCTAACCCAACAAATAGATAGATGTCATAAAAAACAAATATATAAATAATCAATGAATTCTGAAGAATGAATCAAAGAACCCAGCAGCAGTACGAGATGGAATGGAAGAATGGTAGATGGTCCGGTTTCAGTTGTGCTTCTCCTTGGGCTCCGAGAAGAACTTGTTGACTGACGGCATGACTTCAGGAGGTCTATTTCGGAGGAACTTCCTGATGCTATGTTCTTTATAATTCTTACCCTCCTCAAAGTTATCAAACACCCCTTCACTTCTCTTCTGTTTGTTAACCCTGTAACAAAATTCTATCTTGTCTGAATCAATAAAAACAGTCACAGCAGGTAAATACTCCAACTCCAACAACCATTTTTGACAAATGACAACGCAATAGCAACACAACTTCACCTCACATCAGGGTTGGAGCAGATATTCCGAACCAGTTGGAAGGCACAGAGACCAACAACACCACCAAGTGCTACCATCAATGGGTACACCTGTTACCATCCAAACACATTAGTTCCATCTCTTCTTGGTCATCCATTCCTACACCAATAAATGAACAACACGATTTATCTTTAAAAAAAAAAAATAATCCTTTATCTTCATATAATTAGTTAATTGTAAACAGAATTTTATCCAATCACCCCAGATCATGAACAACTACAGTGGGAACTGGGAACGACCCCCCAACCCCTGAAAAAAACCCAGAGAGTAGAGAAACAATCAAACAACAAAAATTGTGCTTTGTCCATCATAAGGTTCGTTAACTAGAATTGACTAGAGAGTAGAGAAAAGAATTACTTCAGGCCTCGACCATCTATTGTAAGCAGAAGCCATTTTGGAGTTGCTCTGTTCAAATGAAAGACCCTTCTGTTCAACTTCGACGCAGAAACAAAGGACGAATGCAAAGTTGGAAAAGAAATAATTGAAAAACGAGACCTTCCTTCCTTACATACCCAAAATCATGGAAAAAGGCCTCGAGAATCGGACAGCAGTAACCGAAACCAGCGGATCGAGTTGTTTTAAATTAGATAAAGATTTATCCGATGTTACAACACAAATATTTCTTGAATACTTTGAGCATATCTGATGTTTCTTTCTTCTTCCACTTCAGATTATGTTTTCTATTGGAGTTTGTTCGCAACAAACCGAAAATGGGGGTGGCCAGCTAGGCATAACGAATTGAATGGTCAAAGCTATTCTGGTATCAAACCACAAATGGCAAGTGTATAATCAGTTGAATTGGGCGCAGGAGCTTAAAGCTACAGAGCGTCAACACTCATAGCGCGATGCAGAGAGCAACAACCGTTTTAAACGCTCTAATAACGGCTCCCAGCCACTAACACTAGTCATGGTGCGGTGATAGTGGAATGCTAATGCCATCTGTAATAACTGCATCCACGTTAACTCTTGTATTACCATATTAAGAAGTTTCAACGGAAACCTTTATTTTGGCTGTAAAATAGCTATTTTGGGTTTTCCGGGATTTACACCGAACATTACCTAAATTTGTCTGGATTGGATCCAGCTCCTAAAGCCAGAAGCCACTACACTAACCCTCCCGATCGGTTTCATGTGGTTGTTTTTGACTTTGGCCTAGAAGCAATATTTCGTGAAAATTTCAGAGAGCCAAGTTGACAATTGTTCACCGAGTACATGACTCTCCTCTATTTAAGCTTTGGAATTCTTCAAAGCAACTCAACTAAAACTTAAGCCCTGCAAACGGGACCCAAGTAAAATGGCTGCCCCTATTGAGCAAGATAGGGGACTTTGTTTTTTTTGGATTTTGAGAGGGAAAAGTTGATTAATGGGATTTTAGTTTTCATTAATTAAGATACTTATATTCTTTCTTTAGATTTATGTGGGGGATTCATAAACACTTGGATAAGACAAAATTATTCCTATTAATAATAGATTTTTATACTAAGATACCCATATTCTTTTTTCAGATTTATGTGAGAGAGTTATCAATACTTGGATAAGACAAAATTATCTCTATTAATAATAGATTTTTATGGATAAAACAGTATTGTCTTATTTACCAGTTACATGGATAAATGAATTTACATTGTATTTACCCAGATAAATAACTTTCACGAATTTTTGTGACATATGTCTCATGATACCTTCAGCATATACTTAAAATGAATTAAATGAAATTTTAAGACAGCTATCATAATATTTATTAAGTTCTTATATAATATATTTAAAATGATTTGACTACTTGTGAAGTCTTGTACTTTTTGATAGTGTGACTTTCGTGGTGTTTGGTATAAAATTCGCATTTTATAGGCCCTCCGGTTAGTCTTTTTCTGCTGCCTCCTATGAAATCCACAATAGAAACCATAACTCATTGGGAGAAGAAGCCAAGACTGATTGGGTTCTGATGTAACCGTTTTTGGTCACGTACCATTTTTTGTGATGTATAAATTTTTTGGCTAAGTACCTCGTGTTTGACCTGGTGGTGACGTGCCTTGGTGATGAGCTACTTGGTGGCGAACTCCCTGGGGG